GGTTATTATTTTAAACTTCAGTTGTTTGAGTAAATCTGATGTACATGTATTGCTCAATGTATTACTTTTGAAAGTATGATAAAAAAATTGTATGCCTGCTTCATATATTACAAATATATTAGCCTGAAATAGGAAAAGATTTCAGTTTAGTTAATTTTTCCTGAAATTGTCACCTTTGTCACCTTATTTCATGATTTCATATGTAGCGCCACCCATTGCTCATTTATATTTTGGTTGAAAAGTAAACAACATGGTATATGAGCGAGGGGTGGCGTCACTGTTAATTTTGAAACAATGTGTCATAAATTTTGCTAAATTATGCTAAAAATCAGTTTTAATGAAAGTCCCCTACATTTATGATGTCAAAAATACATCACTAATGACGCAAATGGTAACATTTCTTCTCTTACTGAAACAATTGAACATTTTAACAAACGTTTTCATCAAGTTTCACAATATTATTGCAGTTTAAAAATTCTGATTTTTAGGGCCAAAGTTATAGGTTAGTGAATCAACTCCTTTTAGTCCTCAATGCTCTTTAACTTCGTACTTTATTTGGCCTTTTAACATTTTGTGTTCGATCGTCACTGAGAAGCATTTTGTAGTCTGGCATACAAAATTATAAGTCTGGTATCTTGGATGAGTTTTTTTACGCTAGTCATAAAGTTCAAAATGAAAAGTTAATAAATATGCACTTTACTTCCTTTAGTTTCCATGTTCAAATTACATATATGTATTCTTCAAATATATACTCAACCTGCATATCTTGGCATGTTTTAACATGTACAGAATCGTAGATGATATATAACAAAAGTTTGAATAGAACACACTCTATACGACATTCTACCAATAATAAAGACTCACTAAAATAACATGTTACACAAAACATGGAAAGTGCAACTTTCCTGCCGAAAATTTTGATGATTAAATAATATTTTGTACCTTTGATAGTCATGAAGTGTTTTATGCAAATTACACCCCAGTTCTATTGTTTTACTTCATAGTTTCTATTTCTGAAACAAGTGTAAATTGAATAGATCTATTGTTAGGAATAACAATGGATTTTGACCACAGGGTGTGACGAGCGGGGTTTCTGGAAACCCCTGCTTCTACATCCCGAAAACAAAGTCCATTGTTATTCGTTACAATAGAAATTGATTATTTTTTAAATAGCATGAACATAAAAAATTACTAATAGTGTTCACTACAAGTTGTTTCAAGATATTAAAAAACACATTTTAGGAAATTCCAATAGCAAAAAAAATATTAAGCATCTATTTTGAATAAAAAAAATCCTTCAAGGGAAAAATAATTTGATTGATAGCGTTGAAAAACTAAATGAAATTGTTCGCGATTTGCGAGAAAAAAATTTCTGACTCCGACAAAAAACCATACCCCTTCCCTCCCCCCCCCCCCCCCCCCCCCCCCCCCCCAAAAAACCCTTTGAAGTTAAAATGGTTGCTCCCTAAATACTCCTTTGCTTGAAGGTAAAAGTTTTGATCCCAGTCATATGTCTCTATTCTATTTTGCATTGATCTTAAAAAAACAGAGATTCTAACTCCCGGACACCCCCCCCCCCCCCCTGGATCCCGGTCGTCGGGTTTCTAATCCAGACACACCTATCCCTCAGTGTGTCCGAATATGAATGTTTATTCTCGAGAAAGGGGGGGGCTTCTTTTTTTTACAAAACCGTAACATAAAAATACATTTATGATTACCTTCATTAAACTGATACAGGTAAGTACTCTGGGTTATAATATTGCCTTTATCTTTAGTCTCTTCTGCCAAATCCAACGCTTGACTCAAAATGTCGTCCGTCTTATACCCGTCCATACTGACAACTGCATACAAGGAGCATGATGTATTTTTTTTGTAATAAGAATGCACGAAACGGTCAACCTTGAACTTCTGATCCATATTAGCACCCGGATTTAACGGGAATATGCAAAACAGCAACTTTGACATTTGTAAAATCTACTCACTTGCCAAAGTTTGAAAGAACATAGCCAAAGTAAGGTTACTAGTGGGGTTTTAGGTAAAAAAAAATATTTTTCTTATAATTCATGGTTCGATTTTGTCAAAAAATATGCTATCCATTCTTTTTCATTTAATAATCAATGTTAACAAATGTAGGGTTTAGCATTAGGTGTAAGTTAGTTATACATCTCGGGATACGGCGTGTCTGAATAAGAAACACCTCCGGCCTCCGGCCGTCGGGGTTTCTTATCCAGACACACCTATCCCTCGGTGTATAACTATTACTGAAGACTAATGAATATGTTGCATTTGCACATTAGATATACACATATAGATAATACAGTTATGTGCGCAAGTTCTGATTACAAGCCTTAAGCTTAGGATATGTCATGTGATTTATGCGTGCACATTATTCACATTAATGTATGACCACAAAAATCACACAGAATCTAACAAAAACAAATCGCGAAATGACATATAAGAAGACATTAGAAAGAAATTTTCCAATTTAATAAATTGATCTTAAAATTGATTTGATGTTATTTTTTAATCAATAAATTGGTGACGTTTCGTTTAATTTTCTTAAATTTCTAAGGTTGGTTCTTATGGAGCGCTTGCTGTAGAATCTAGGCTGAGATGGACGCCATACTTTCGTTTTCATTACCAAAAACGTTTCCATCAATGATATATATATATTAACTCCTTGTGAACGCAACAAATGAGACCGATTAACAGAAATCTACTATACTTGGTAGAATTATTTCTCATTATCCCTAATTGACCACATTGTACCGTCAATTTCATTCCAATATTTGATGGGAGAATTGGGACTTTTATCATTTTTTTTACTATTGTCCAACAACAATCCCATGTTTGACCAATTGAATAACACCAAAAAATACACCTAAACATGCTATATCAGTTCCTGTTGTACAACTTTATGCTAAACACAAAATTGTATTCCACATTTACACAGCGACTGGGAACATTTCGTTCCCCTCGACTTAGCAATCTTGTGTTATTAGCATGTTTCATACTAACAGTTTGTCACGTAGGATTATTTATCTGTTATTGTGATATTTTGGTTCTTTAGATGTAGAATTTGGTTTGAAGAATCAAAAGGTTTCTCACATATGATTTTTATCTAGATCACATGAACTCCGAACAAATTGAAATCAGTTGTGTTGCCAGGGTTCTGTGCGAGAATCACTTTTCATGATTTTCAAAGTCACGTCAGGTTTAATTTGGGACATTTTAAAAATATTACTAGTGAGTTGAAAGTTGAGACAATCCAACAATCAATCATTTCTTGATAGCGAATCGTGATTTATGAAGTGATAATTTAAATCGTTAAGTTTTTTTTAAGTTGTAACATTCTCTGTGTGAAAATAAAAATACCTGCTTGTTATAGATATCTCTATGGGAGCTATGAAATGGGTTCCGTTAAAGAGATATTTGGGAATTTGAATGTTTACAGATTGAGGCATCTAGGATTATTACTGGACATAAAAAATTTGCAAACAAAGTATCACTTTTTTTAAAAGTTGATGGAAGACTTTTGTGTTTTAGAAGAAATAGACGTAAATTTTGCCTAAATTTCATAAAAATATTGGATGCTTCTCAGATTATGTAGATACCAATAATTATAATATTAGAAACTGTTTGAACAATAGAGTACCGAGATGTCAATTAGAATAATTTATGATCCCCTTTTCTCTTCTTCGAAACGTGCATGGAAATTTCTGGTGTTAGATATTAGTTCAATTTAGTCATCTCCAAATTTCAAACATGTTATCCGTAGATATGATTTTTTTCTCTTTGGTAACATAGAAATAGGAGAGAAAATATGTTGCGCAATAAACTACTACACAGTAGGCCCCAAAAAGCTGATTATTATAAATTTAATTTGGTGAATGATCTTAGCTGTGCTTATAGGCGTACATTTGAAGATTTTATCGATCTTTTCTAAGATTGTTTTAGAAATCAGTTATCCATACATATCCAACACTTAGTTGTTATTTCAATAGAACCTATTTGATTTTGAACAGACAAAACTAGCGTGAAACAAAATACAAACCTTTTCAGAATTATACATAGCTATATACGCCATAAACATTACTAGAACACACCCACACCCGCGACATTGCGGGTCCATAACTGAATTAAAGCATCTGTGCCTTATTTTTAGCCTGGATTTTTAGTATTCGTATTGTCATCTGATAAAGTCATGCTGATTGTAAGGTGCACAGTTTTCTCTGTTTTCAACTTATTCTGTTTGAACCCGTTCTGGTTTTCTTTCTACAATAGACTTACTATATTTTAAATTTATTTTTTTTAACCAAAATTAACAGTGGTATTGAGGTGGAAGAAAACAGACTTGTTAAATAGTGTACTATAGTGTAACATAGATATAAAACAAATACTGGAAGAATTCCAGGTTCTCCTGATAGAGAGTGATTTACAGAAGGTAACAGGTAACTACAACCGGAAGTTACATATACTATTGGTATCAGTATCGAATTCGACCCGAAACTTGTTAATTATTGGTATTATTAATTATGTGGAAAACAAAAGGGCCTGGAATGGTGTAATTTTTATACAGTATATAATTTATTTCTAAAGTTGATTCGTCGTTTTACGTCATGCCGGCTAACAAACTGGACCTCGTTATTTTAGTAGTATAGATTCTTCGATTAATATTGTTATATCTTTAGATGTATTCGTATCGAACTGTCTCCTTCCCGAATCACACCTATAGGTATTTTTTCCGATAATACATTTATTGTTTATATTTATTCTAATTGTACTTAAATGTAAATTTGCTGTCATCTTGAATTTTTGCATATTGTAATTATTTTGAGAGGATGATCATAGTTGTAATATCTCAGTTATATCCAATCCTATTGCTTATTTACACAATAAAATATGTCTAAACTAGATACCACGGCTGTATGTTATTTCCCTGTGTTACTTTATTTAACCGACTTTGATAATCTTTTTCTTTTCTTTCTTTTAATCAACAGCTATACGACCTTTGCGAAATACGAATTTAATGCAAAGAGTATTGCTCATGGAAGAAGACGCAGAAGACTCTATTATAAGAAGATATAGTGTAGAGCGTGTCCAAGCCGCTCGAGATATTTTAGATTCCGATATAGTATCAATATACAAAGGTTCCATATTGTTTATACTTGACCCGTCATCTGAGAAGGCCATTGAAGAACTGTGGGAAAGACACGCCGGCAGTGATAAAATACGTAAATTTCTGAGCATGATTCTAAAAGACTATGAATTCAAAGAAAAATTCAACCGGAAAAGAATAGTTAAAGTTGAGCTTACAGAAGAACCAAATGAATTTCATTGTCGGGTTAGAAGTACGTATATAATATTTTGATAACTTGATCATTTCATCCAGTACATTATAAAAAGAAATTTCATAATCAAGGGAAAAAATTTCACACAACATAAATATCGCGGAGAGACAGAATTTTTTCGATAATTTTGTCCGGATTTTAAGCATTGGTCGATAGTATCGAACTCATTTTTTATGGCAGTGGTGCATTTGGAGTTGTTTTTATTGTCATTAAAACAATCTTTTTATTTTTAATTATATTATGATTATATGCAAATGACAAATTACATTGTCGTTGTGTAAATTCAGTATCTTCAAAATACTATGAATGGTAAACAATATTTAGTGATTTAGATTTCAATGTCCTGGATTTCTTATGCTTCAATCAGACATGTCTAACAATTATATGTTAATATATTATCATTCTAAATTCTATCTTGTTCTAAATTTAAACTAACATGCTGAGTCGGAATTTGAACAAATTAGTTCAAATCAAAAGGTGAAGCGATTAGTTCTCGGGATCAACTGAGTTTATACCATGTGGGTATACGTTAATGATGCAGTAATCCAACAAAAGATATAAAATAAAGTCTCAAATATCAATGTCATGGTTAATGAATACTTATATATTCTTACCCATAATGGCTATGTAGGAAGTTTTCGTTGCATTTTGCTTGAGAACCATACAATATACCTTCCTTCAAGTTGTGATCCGGCTTTATGTAAAGTACATGATAAACCATGGGATGTGTTTTCACATTTATCTCTCATCAACTTCCTGTTTTCCAAACACTTATAGCGAGTGTATCATTAGTGATAAATAGCTCACAGTTCAACTTACTGATATTGTTCTGATTTTTATTTTAAGAGTCAAGTTGCAAGTTCCTGGATTATATATTAGATATCTCACCAAAAGACTGCTCGGGTAAGTCATTGTAGAATGAGTGATATCGTTAAATAGTTGCGTACGTTTCAAACTTTTCTACATTTCTCTTAAGATATTTTTTTTTACTTTTCATTTTTCCCTTTTTTGCGTGCAAACCGTAATGACTATATGTGTCGGTAAATTGGTAAAAATTATAATTTGCATAAAACTTTGTTTGATACAACTGATCAGTAACTTGCAAACCTCTATAAAACATATTCTTTATTAAGTCTCTGATCGAAGCAATTGCATTTATGAATAACTCACGAAAATATAATCAAGATTTGAGTCTATTATTGATTGTTTGATTGGTGTTTTGTGCTATTTCGTGGCAGTCAGTTTCTATTGGTGGATGAATCCAGAGAGGGCCACCGAACTTCGGTGGAAAAACTGACAATTCTAGTCAATTAAGATTGGAGTCGAGCCCACATGCCACATTCTGAATTCGAACTTACAACCTCAGCGATGACAGGCTAGTGATATAGTAGTTCGACTACACAGACCACTCGGCCACCGAGGCCCCTTGTGATTATTACATTAATGTGTAGATGTCTGTGAAGCGTTTTCTTTATTTAAAATTTACATGTACTTAATTAAAAGATTTGAGATATTTCGATAGGCAAGACATTTCCATTCGTTAGTATCATTCTGATGTAACCGGTCGTTTGATCATTCTGTAAGAAAAATGATGTAAACAAAATGAAAAGTGCAGTAAATATAAAAATGAAGATGTGGTATGATTGCCACTGAGACAACTCTCCGCGAGAGACCAAATGACACAGAAATTAACAACTATAGGCCACCGTACGGCCTTCAACAATGAGCAAATGCATCGTACGGCCTTCAACAATGAGTAAATGCACATTTTCACCAGTAAAGTTTTAACTTTTGGAATAAGATTATTTGTTTTTACATTTGATTCACAGAAAATAAATCTGACGATAATCATTGTTGTCCGGTTTATTCCTTGAATGCCTGCATCCTTTGATCTACCGATAAAATACAGGTAAAAATATGGGGCACATTACATTTGCGCGCATTTAGGGATTTATTTATTTTTGCGCGCAGCTTTTGATTACATTTGCGCGCATTCATTTTACAGGTAATACAGGTAAAATAAAAGATAATTCATAATAAATATAACTATAGTTATAATGAATTTTTAACGTATTTGTAAATTTAAATTAAATATTTTGCATATTGAATACTAAAAAATATATACAGTGATTATGTGAAATCCCGTAATAGCTTAAGACATACACGTAACTTAATTGCGAATAAATAGTATTCTGCTACATAATTTTATCGAATAGTGATCGCTTCAACGGTGGGAAATCTAGTGACAAAATATTACCTCCCCTGTAAACACTGAAAACTAAATCATCTCAATGTTTGTCCCATTTTTGCAAGGACGCTATCGATTATGGATTCACGGAAAAACGTTCTGGTAAATAGTGAAAATAGAAATAAAAACAAAACTTCCACTCAATTTTATCATTTTCCTCCTTTAGTAGCAAACGACGAGTACAGCAGTCTATAGAAGCTTTGGAGTAAAATTGGTTTAAAATGTTGCTATGCGAATAAATTCCTTGAGTACCAACTTCAATTAATTTTTGTACTGTCTGTATACCTCTCTTCAATATGATAATTATTCGTATATATATACAGCTAGATCAGAGAAAGTCAGGGAAAAAAATCCAAAGGTATCGATTGATATGCAGCAAAGATTGGCACTTTTAAAATTAAGTTACTAAGCAAATTCAAACAGACCTTGTTTCGATGTAAACATTGAATGTGAATAGATCGAGAAGACCGCAAATACTTGTACAAAACTCGAGACGACCTTTTCTTAAAATTGTATACAAAATAGTAGAAAGATACCTGCTTTATAAAAATAGTAATCTTCAATTTTTAACCTGAACAGACAGACTTTTAAATTTTTATATTCACGAAAAGACAATATTTTTCTATTGAATGTACATTTGACAAGAGCAGACTGGTGTGCTCGATAACTTAGGTGTGAAAAAAATAAGCATACTTTGGGAAATTGTAACATGCTACGGACTTTTTGGAACACTCCAAAAATTGGTGACCCGAAAGATCTTTCAATTTTGTATGTAAATGATTTTTTCCAATTTTGTTTATCAATACGCAGCAAAGATTTGCTTTTTTTAAATTTCAGTTTCACAAGCTTCTAATGCAATTATCTCGATAAATACTGAACATAAAACATCGTGTATTTGCATGTATATTCTCAATAACACAGTTTAACAAATAATTTCTTTAAAATGTACAATTATTTTTTAGAAAACACTTTTGATCAGTATCGTCACCGGTATTGTTTTATTATTGACTTTCTCGACTCTATCATAAAAAGAGTGAATTTTCTTTTGTTTTCGTTCACTTGATAACCCACTGTTATAAATTATTTAAGTCAGTTTGTAAAAAATGCGTCAAGGCACAGACAAAAAAATCGGTGGAAAAATCATGTGTATAAGATGGATTCAGTTTCCGTATCGTCAGCACATCTATGTAATTTTGTGCACGTTACGACACGTAAAATCAGTACTTTTAATCTTTAAAGGCATACGATACAGTAGAGATCCCTCGTTCATTTTTTCTTGAAATTTTGGTAGAAGGTCAATTTCGATGTGTACTTTTGAAATATGCAAAGAAAAATATACCTTCATGACTTACTTTTTGAGATAATTTGGTTTGAAATTTGCATATTTGAAGGAAAAACCCTGAAATTTCATAAATAAGGACTTTTAAGGAAAGTACCAATACTTTTGAACGAACAGTCATATTTTAACCGGGTTTTTTGTAAAATGTTCCCTTGATCCATGGCATCAGCATGTTGTAACAAGTTAACGGTTGAAATAAATAATTATATCCTAAATTCTTTTAATACAAGTGAAATAAAGAAGTTGAAAATATTTTTGCGTCTACACAGAAGTACAGAAAAAATTCTATCGTTGATTTTTTCTTAAAATTTTGGCGGAGCGTTCTTGATACAGAACTTGATCGATTGCAAAAGAAAAAACTGGGGGTCCATGTGCTTGTTTTTTCAATAAAAGCAATAAACCTTAATTTTTATTGGCAAACGGGACGTTTGCCAATAAGGCGCCAAACTACGTTGGAATAAGTTTTATTCGCAACAACGTCGTGAAATCTTTCCCGCCGTTCACTATACTACGTTGTCAATTTCAGTGGTAGAGCCAAGGTGTTTTTTTTAAACCAATGATATTAATCATGAAAATTAATAAAGCTGGCTCCTCGTAAAATAGCATCATATTTGCCAAACCTTTATGAATTGTTACGAAACTTGGATAGAAAAATTATTCTAGTAAATTACTTTTAGAAAAGAAATGTTCGGAAACAAAACAGATATATTTAAGGTCAAGGATCAGTAAATGACCAGTCCATAGATTTTTTTAAAATTTAGAATTCAATTAGATATTGAAAATATACATCAGAAAATTAAAAAAAAAGTATATGTCACCGACTTCGTTTTCGAGAAAAAGCCATTTTTAAAATGGTCCGAGAGGGTACTAAATTACATTTCAAATATATAGGGAAAATCCTTATTTTTCTTCTGCTCTTTTCGGTTTCCTGTGTAAATCACGAGATTCACTCCATAGAATTTTTTTTAAAAATGATGATTTCTTCCTCTATGTCTAACAAATAAGATGATGTGAAAAAAATATATGGTCACCGACTTCGTTTTCCCTCTAGAAACGACGCAACCTCAACATTTTGAAAAAAAAACCATCAAAAATCGTGACGTCTTCATTTTTATTACATAACGTCAAGTTATCATGGTATGAATTTTCAAAGTTCTTGGTGTTGATTACGCATGATGATTATGTGTTTTGTATTGATAGGTTCTTTTTATCATAAGGGTCTGGATAGAGGGTCCTTCATTTATTATTTTTTTATTTTGTACTACCAGTATTGTATTCTTTATTCTTTATATTTAAGCACCTCATCATTCTCTATTCTTATTTTTTTTTTTTGCCTGTTATTCTGCAGTTTTTGCCTTTTATTCTGTATTCCGTAAACCCCAGTCAGACCCTCTTTTATGGACACGTATTTCAAATTAAATTATAACTGTTACAGTTGTAAAAAATGTGATATGTTCATTATCAATAATAATGTTTAAAACAATTACTAATTCAGAAGAAATTACTTTGTAAGTACATGAACGCAAAAATAATAACATAAAAATAGAAATCATCCCAATGTCTTGACTCAAAAAAAGATGTAATATAATTATTTTATCTTTTGTGACTCTGGTTTTTTCAAAAAAAGAAGTTCCGATAGGAGATTGGCAACACCATCAGACCCCTCACGTTCGTAAGACTGTGAAACATATTCCACTGAGAATGAGTGTGGTGCCTGTGCCACTTTCTCAGTGGGAAGCGACACATGTTCTACTAGTTGTTGTAATGCTTGAACATCTCCAACGGCATTATGTGCGTCGTATTTGACACCAAGAATGTCAAATACTAGGCTCTCCTGGTTATAACCTTTACCCGTTTGTTTCCTCTCTGGTAGCACAGTTTTCAGCAAAGATAGCGAGTCAACAGAACCCTTACATTTTTGTTCAAAAATATCAAAGAAAGAATTATTCTCCATGGAATAAACTAAAACTCTCGAATAAAAAGCTTTGCATTGTGTCAGGTAACCAATTGATAAAATCTCTTAGACTATCTTGCAGGTCATCTGTTTGCATTATTTCTCCGTTCCGATATAAGATTTGGCCACTTTTTGAAAAACCGGTAACTTTACAAGCGGAACATTTGATAGCTTCTTTTGGTACTATATAACGACAGAAAGCGTTCTGCTCATATGCTGCTGCAATTTGTATTATGTCTGTACAGTCGTCTGTTTTACAAAGATTATACAATTGTTTAATAGAATTTTACATCGCATATATCGACAAATATTATCATCAATGAATTTTCTACAAATTATTGAAAGAGTGTCATGTGGTTATT